TTCTGACTGCCTAGGAGGAGGGCAGAGACCTGCCTTGCCTCAGCCTCCTGTGGCCTCCTGTGGGCCTTCTGTGGGCCTTCTGTGGGCTCCTGAGGCCACCTATGGGCTCCTTTGGGCCCCTATGGGCCTCCTTTGGGCTCCTGTGGGCCTCTTGTGGGCCCCTGTGGGCCTCCTGTGAGCTCCTGTGGCTTCCTATGGCCTCCTGTGGGCCTCCTGTGGGCTCTTGTGGTCTTCTGTGGGCTCCTGTGGCCTCGTGTGAGCTCCTCTGGGCTCCTCTGGGCTCCTGTGGCCTCCTCTGGACTTCTTTGGCCTCCTGTGGCCTCCTATGGGCCGCTGTCCTGTCATGGCCTTGTTAAATGAGGAGGCGCTTAGGGACCTCTCAGCTCTGTTGTTAGAAATTTCAGGGTTTCTGATGATGGAACCTGGACGAATGTGTGGAATAGAGCTGCTCCCAGGCAGATAGGGGACCAAGGGCAACTGACACTGTGAATTCTTCTCTCCTCACCACCCACAACCAAAAATACTACTCAGATCCAATCAAGTCAGATTAAGATGTCAGGCTGCTTGACAGGGAAAAATGTTACCCGAAGGGCAATCTGACAGGCATCTGGGAGGAAGAGGGAGCCTGCCTGTTCTCTCTGGGTAGTGAGAGTGTGTGTGCCTCTTCCTCTCTCCCTCCCTCCTCCTCCTCTTCCTCCCTCCCTCCTCCTCCTCTTCCTCCCTCCCTCCTTCTCCTCTTCCTCCCTCCCTCCTCCTCTTCCTCCCTCCCTCCTCCTCTTCCTCTCTCCCTCCCTCCTCCTCCTCTTCCTCCCTCCCTCCTCCTCTTCTTCCTCCCTCCCTCGTCCTCCTCTTCCTCCCTCCCTGCATTTCTTTCCCTTCTCTCATCACTCCTTCCATCTCTCCTCCCTTCATCCCTCCGCCTCCCTTCTGTTCTTCCCTTCCCACTCTCCCCGTCTCTCCCCTTCCTTCCCTCTCTCCCTCCCTTTCTCCATCTCTCCCTCTCCTGTCTCTCCCTCCCTCTTTGCCTCAGACTTCTCCATTTCTCCCCTCCCTGCCTTTCTCCCTTTTGTCTCTCTTCTCTTTCTCCCCATTCCCTCTCACCCCCTTCCCTATTCCCCCCTCCCTCCCCCTCCTTCCTTCCCTCTTTCTCTCCCTCACTTCCTCTCTCTCTGTCATCCTCTCTCCCCCTTCCTTCCATCCATCCCTCTCTCCCCTCCTTCGGACCCTAGTGAGAGCGCAGTCCTGGGTTCTGGTTCCGTGCAGCCAGTTTGTCCCTGAGGCCTCATGGAGCCCTTCCCACCAGGAGCGGTCACCCAGGTCTGTCATGCGCATTCATTTATTCAAAAGTGTTATCAGGCGCCTGCTCTTGGCCAGGCAGTGCGCTGGTCCTGGGAAGACAGGAAGACAGGAGAAGTGAGATTGGTGGCTGCTCTGCTCTCCAGGAGCTGGCTGTCCATGGGGAGATGGTCTCCCGGGGCTGTGCCACCAGCACATCCCTCAGCCCCATCTCTGTGCATCTGATCCATGGTCCTGAGTGGACCCAGGAATCTGCGTTTTCTGAGGACCCACCCCGTGAACCTGGACCCATCTCTGAAACACTGTTCTGGGCCCACACCCAAAGCCAGCGCTTAGAGGAGGTTTGCTGGTTGACTGTTCTCTGTGCTTGTACTGTTTCTGGGGTGCCTTTGAGGAATTGGAAGGTTTCAAGCCTGGGAGTGGGATCTTAATTACATATGCATGTTAATGTTGCAGATTTTCAGTATAAGCACAGGCTTTTGGCAAGAGTGTTCTGATTTAACAGAATTGCTTGATGTGCTCAGCAACTGCTCTCTAGAAAGCTGAGTTAACACCAGGGCTGCCTCTGGCCCCCTCCTTCTCTGTGACTGCAGCACCCCCAGGACTGTGCCTCACGTCTACGAGTGCAGGTGCCACCAACATTTCTTGATAACTTGGGAGGCCCTGGCTCTGAGCTCTCCCAGAATGAATTCTCCATGCTGTTTACTTCTTTTGGCTATATGATAAAGCATTTTTTGAATTTGTTTTTTTCTCTGAATCAAAAGTAGGAAAGGATAGTGTCTTAGTCAGGGTTCTCTAGAGAAACAGAACAAGTGAAAGATATATATATATATATACACGCAAATCACCAGGCCTTTCTTCAGTGGCACTGCTGTGTGGGTTCAAACCACCAACCTTTTGATTAGTAGCCAAACACAAACCACTGTGCCACTCAGGGACCATATATATATAGAGAGAGAGAGACATCCACTTCAAGGGACTGGCTCTCACAGTTATGGGGCTGGCAAGTCCAAAATCTGCTGATCAGACAGCAGGCTGGAGATTCCTGCTGGCTTGTGTCCCATGAGCTATATGTCAGGCAATGGAAAGAGTGCAGAGTGGAGAGACAGTAAATTCTGCCAAAATATCTACTCATAGTCTGGAGGCAGAACACATCCTAAGGAAATTCCCTTTTCAACTGATTGATGCATTGCATTAGATTACATTATGGAAAGTGATTACATCACATCACATCATGGAACAGCAGCTAGACTAGTATTTGGCCAAACCACTGAGAACCGTAACCCAGCTAAGTTGATACATAAACTGAACCATCATGGTTTGTATGTATTGTAGTCATCATTTGGTTGCAAAATCCAGACACCTATCTAACACTGTTTAAGTAAAGGAGGACCAACTGCAGAGATACAGGGGACTCTCATGCAACCCAGAGGCAGAGAACAGAGCCAGGCTTCTCAGCAACTGGAAATCCAAGGTCACAGGCAGCTACTCCCCACATGGTCACATGTCTCCACTGTGCCTCTGCCTCCTTCCTCTGCACACTGGCTTCTCTGCTCAATTACCCATGTGCTGGGGCCACCATAAACCAAAAAACAAACCCATTGATTCTGGCTCTTGGTGACCCCACGTGTTGCAAAGTAGAACTACTCCATAAGCTTCTCTGGGCTGTAATCTTTACGGTAGCAGACCGCCAGACCTTTCTTCTGCAGTGCTGCTGTGTGGGTTAAAACTACCAACCTTTAGGTTAACAGCTGAGCATAAACCGTTTGCACCACCCAGAGAAAATGGCGGCCTGAGCCCTACAGATCTAAGAGACACTGTCTCAATTCCGTTTCAGGAAAAAAAAAACACAAAAATTTTGACCTGGTTTGGGACTGGGTCATTTCTGGATCGGTTAGCTGAGGCCGGGAGATGGGCTGACACAGGGCTTTTTTAGGCTGGGCATCGTGTTGGGAGGAATGATTGACAGTGAAGCCATTGCCGTCCCTGGTATAGTCTGTGCAGCGGTGGTGCAACCGCATCAGCAGAGGGCAGGCATCCTGCTACATAGGCATGATTGGCGTGAGGTTCTTTCCATTGCATTGGAAAGACACTGTGTATGGACCTAACGGTAAGACGGTACAGGAGCATCATTTATGGAGCTTCCACTCTATGCAGTGGGCACAGTCATATCTTCTCTTGTTTAATCCACACAGCAGTACTCTGTAGAGATCTACCTGAGACCCAGAAAGCTTCATTGACTTGACCAAAGTTACACGATTTTCCGTGGCAAGCTCAAATTTAAACTACCAGTACTGGTTGTTGTTGAGTAGCACTGATTCACGGCAACCCCATGTGTCAGAGTAGAATTACGCTCCATAGGATTTTCAGTGGCTGATTTTTGGGAAGTAGATCAGTAGGCCTTTCTTCCAAGGTGCCTCTGGGTGGATTTGAAATTCCAACCTTTCAATTAACAGCCAAACGTGTTAATATATTGTAGCATGTATCAGGACTTCATTTATCTTTATGGCAGAGTAATATTCCATAGTATGTACGTACCATGTTTTTTATCCACTCAAAGTGCTGCAATGAACATTGGTGTATAGCTTTCTGTTTGTGTTCCTGCTTTCAATTTTTTGTGGTATATACCTAGGATTGGGATTGCTGGGTCATATGGTAGTTCTGTGTTTAATTTTTTGAAGAATCCCAAACTCTTTTCCACAGAGGCAGTACCATTTTGCATTCCGATGAGCAATGGATGAGGGTTGCAGTTTCTCCATATCCTCATCAACATCTGTTGCCTTCTGTTTGTTTGATCATAGCCGTTCTAGTGGGGAGTGAGGTGATAGCTCATTGTGGTTGTGATTTGCATTTCCCTAATTACAAATGATAGGAGCCCTGGTTGTGCAGTGGTTAAGCACTCGGCTGCAAACCAAAAGGTGGGGGGTTCTAACCTACCGACTGCTCGGTGGGAGAAAGATGTGGCAGTCTGTTTCCATAAAGATTTAAAGCTTTGGAAACCCTATGCGGCAGTTCTACTCTGTCCTATAGGGTTGCTATGAGTCGGAGTCAACTCAATGGCAGTGTTTGGGGTTTTTTTTTCTTTTTTTTTTTAATGATTGATAACGTTGAACATCTTTTCATGTGCCTATTTAAGGCCATTTGTATATCTTTTTTGGTGAAATGTCTGTTCAAGTCCTTTTTTGATTGGATTGTTTTTCTTTTCATTGTTGACAGCTCTTTATATATTATAGATTGGGCCCTTTCATTTTGATCTTCCCCTCTCTCGTTTCCCTTCACATCCTAGCTTGCTAAAGCTTTTCTCATTCCTGAGGTAAGGAGTATATGCATCTTGTTCCTCACCTCCCAGCTTCTCTGAGACCACCCACGGGTCCTTATCCTGTCACACGGCTGTCACTAGGTGTGCGGTGAGCACCCCAGAGTGGGGAGCCTGGTTCTCAGGTATGCAGTCACTATCTGCTGTGTGAGGCCAGTCTTTATCCAGTCTACAGAGGAGCCAGGTTATTCCTGCTACTTCAGGATCCCCTTCTTTTTCTGAAACCGAAAGGTAGCTTTATGGAGAGATGGGGCATGGGAATGGAGAGTCTTTGGGGAAATTATTTGACTTGCTGTAGTGGAACCAAGCACCCTGTCTCAGATGGGTGCTGATGGAAGGGCTTCTGGTGCTGACACCTTAATAAGCTTAGCTTCTCTCTCTCCCGCAGGACGCCAGCCATGATTGGCTGCTCCTTCGTGGTCAACAGGAAGTTCTTTGGTGAAATTGGTCTTCTTGACCCTGGGATGGATGTGTATGGAGGAGAAAACATAGAACTTGGAATCAAGGTTGGTGACATGGCACCCTTTCCTCTTGGTTTCTTCATGTTTGTGAGCAGAGCTGCTAAGTCATCCCTGATGTGCGCTAGTTAAAGTTTTTTACAGTGATGTGGAGTTCTTGGTGCCGCAAATGGTTAAATGCTCAGCGGCTAACTGGAAGGATGACGGTTTGAACCTACCTGTCTTAGGCTGGGTTCTCTAGAGAAGCAAAACCAGTAAAACATATAAATATATATATAGAGATTTTTATTAAAGAAACAGCTCACACAATTGTAGAGGCTGGAACGTCCCAAATCCGTGGATTAGAATTGACGCTTCTCCTGATTCACGTAGCCGCGGGGGCCAGCAAACCCAAGATCGGCAGGTAGGAGAGCAGGGCTCTGCTCACAGGCTGTGAAGATCGACGAATCCCAAGACTGGCAGATAAGCTGACAGCTCAAGTCCCAAGAACCGGAGGTCAGATGAACAGGAGGCAGCTGCAGGATCCAGAGTGAGCAAAAAGCCAGAGTATCTGCTTATATTCGGATGCAGGCCACACCCCCAAGGAAACTCTCTTTCAACTGATTGGCTACTCACAGCAGATTCAATTATGGGAGTGATCACATATAAACACTGAGAATCATGGCCCAGCCAAGTTGACACACAATCTTAACCATCACACCACCCAATGGCTCAATGGGAGAAAGACCTGGCGATCTGCTCCCGTAAAGATTACAGCCTAGGAAATCCTATTGGGGCAGTTCTTCTCTGTCACATGGGGTCGTCATGAGTCGAAAATCAACTCAGTGACAGCTAACAACAACAACATAGCTGATGCTTCAACAGGTTCATTTACCCCAGCCCTGTTTCTGGGGGAGGTTCAGGCAGGTTGTCACCCCTCTTTAGAGGGAGAGAAACTTGGACTCAGAGAGGATGAACCATTTGTCCCTTGACTTGGTGACCCATTTGCAACATTAGCCAGAGAGTTTGGTTACCAATCCTATTCAGTTTAGTTCGTTCCTTAAATGTTTCTTAAAATTAAATTACAGTCAATTCTCGTTACTTGTGGTAGTTACGTTCCATAAAGTAACCCACTGGAACATTGCTCCAGAGGAAATGCAGAGTCAGGTTCCTGCAAGCCACTGGTCACAACACTTTCATCAACCAATCAGTACAAAACCTTTTTCTGTGTGTGTTTCTGTTTAAAGACACCTTATTTAATCTATATTGTTGATTAATTGACAGTGAAATCACAGCCAACAGCACTATAACTCATAGCCGAGTAAAGCTTATGTCGCACATGTGTTTTCTCCATACGGCACATCACAGCCTTCCTGTGCTTAGGAGTACAAGACAGCACTTCAGTACTGTTTTATTTTATTTTTATTGTGCTTTAGGTAAAACATTACAGGGCAAATTAGTTTCTTGTTCAAAAATTTACACACAAATTGTTTTGTGACCTTGGTTGCAACACCTGTAATGTGTCAGCACTCTCCCCCTTTCCACGCCGGGCTCCCTGTGTCCATTTGTCCACTTTTCCCATCCCTTCCTGCCTTCTCGTCTTGCCTTTGGGCAGGAGTTTCCCATTTGGTCTCTTATACTTCCCTGAACTAAGAAGCACGTTCCTCATGTATGTTATTGTTTGTTTTATAGGCTTGTCTAATCTTTGGCTGAAAGGTGGTCTTCGAGAGTGGCTTCAATTCTGAGTTAGCAGGGTGTCCAGGGACCATAGTCTTGGGGGTTCCTCTGTTGTGATCCCTGTGAGAGTGGTCAGTGGTAGTAGCCAGGCACCATCTAGTTGTTCTGGGCTCAGGCTGGAGGAGACTGTGGTTCATGTGGTTCTATAGTCCTTTGGGCTAATATTTTCCTTGTGTCTTTGGTTTTCTTCATTCTTCTTAGTTCTAGATAGGATGGGACCATATATGTATCTTAGATGGCCACTTGCAAGCTTGTAAGACCCCACATGCTACTCACCAAAGTAGGATGTAGAACATTTTCTTTATGAACTGTGTTATGCCAGTTCACCTAGATGTCTCTGGAGATCATGGCCCCCAGCCCTCGGCCCTAGCAACTCAGTCCCTCAAGGTGTTTGGGTGTGTCTAGGAAGCTTCTATGACTTTTCCTTAGTCAAGTTGTACTGACTTCACTATATTGTCTGTTGTCTCTGCCTTCACCAAAGTTGACACTTGTCTACTATCCAGTTAGTCATTTCCCCTCCCTACCCCTCCCCACCCTCTTAAGCATAAAGGTGGTTTTTTTCTGTGTAAACCTTTTCTTGAGTTTGTATAATAATGGTGTCATACAGTATTTGTCATTTTGTGATTAACTTATTTCACTCAATGTAATGCCCTCCAGATTCATCCATGTTGTGAGATGTTTCTCAGATTCATCATTATTCTTATTGTTACACAGTATTCCATTGTGTGTATGTTTATCCATTCATCTGTTCACAGGCATCTAAGTTGTTTTCCATCTTTTTGCTATTGTGAATAATGCTGTAACAAACATGGGTGTGCGTGTGTCTGTTCGTGTGACACTTTTATTTTTCTAGGATATATTCCTAGGTGTGGGATTGCTGGATCTTACGGTATTTCTATTTCTAGCTTTTTAAGGAGGTACCATATCATTTTCCATAGTGGTTGTATCATTTTACATACTCACCAGCAGTGCATCAGAGTTCCAATCTCCCTGCTACATCTCTAAAATTTATTATTTTCTGTTTTCTTGATTAGTGCCAGTATTGTCACCGGACCCCTGGTGATGTAGTGGTTAAGCGTTTGGCTCCTAATTAAAAGGACAGCAGTTTGAATCCACCAGCTGCTCCTTGGAAACCCTATGGAGCAATTCTACTCTGTCCTCTAGGGTTGCTATGAGTTGGAATCAGCTCGACAGCAATGGGTTTGGTGTTTTTTTTTAGTATTATCAGGGTGAGATGGTATTATTACTGTAGTTTTGATTTGCATTTCTCTAATAGCTAATGATCTTGAGCATTTCCGCATGTGTCTATTAGCTGCCTGTATGTCTTCTTGGATGAAGTGCCTGTTCATATCCTTTACCCATTTTTAAATTGGGTTGTTTGACATTTTGTTGTTGAGGTGTTGAAGTATTTTGTGAATTTTAGAGATAAGACTCTTGTCAGATATGTCATAACCAAAATTTTTTTTTCCTAGTCTGTAGGTTCTCTTTTCACTCTTATGGTGAGCATAAGTGTTTAATTTTTAGGAGCTCCCAGTTATCAAGTTTATCTTCTGGCATTTGTGCATTGTTAGTTATGGGTGGTAATGTATTTATGGCACCTTGTCCCTATTTTTTCTTCCATGAGCATTATCATTTTAGAGTTTATATTTAGGTCTTTGATCCATTTTGAGTTAGTTTTTGTATATGGTGTAAGGTATGGGTCCTGTTTCATTTTTTTACAGATGGACATCCATTTATGCCAGCCCTATTTGTTTAAGAAACTATCTTTTCCACCATTTAATGGACTCTGGCCCTTTGTCAAATATCAGCTGCCTATAGGTGGGTGGATTTATCTTTGGGTTCAATTCTGTTGCATTGGTGTATGTGTCTGTCATTGTGCTAGTACCAGGCCGTTCTGATTACTGTGGCTGTGTAGCAGGTTCTAAGATCAGGTAGTGTAAGGTCTCCCACTTTGTTCTTCTTCCTCAATAATGCTAAGTTATCTGGAGATTCTTCCCTTTCCATATAAAGTTGGTGATTAGTTTCTCTATCTCATTAAAGAATGCTGTTGGAATTTGAATTGGATTGCATTATATCTGTAGATTGCTTTGGGTAGAATTGATGTTATCACAGTGTTGAGTCTTCCTATCTATGAGTATCATATGTTTTTCTGTCTGTGAAGGTCTCTTCTGGTTTCTTGCAGTAGTATTTTGTAGTTTTCTTTGTGTAGGTCTTTTTCATCTTTGGTTTGATTTATTCCTAAGTATTTTATCTTTTGGGTGGCTATTATAAATGGTATGGATTTCCTGATTTCCTTTTTGAAATTCTCTTTGTTGCTGTAGAGGAATCCAGCTGATTTTTGTACGTTAATCTTTTGTCCTGCTACTACCATTTAGTCCCTTTTTCTGTTTTGACGTTGTTGTCGTTTACATATTGGTTCCCTATTTTCAGTCTTTTAGCTTTGTTTTATTTTTTGAGAAGTCCTTATCTGGGTTGGTATCTGGTTGATCTGTCCTGTGTCCTAATTTTGGATTGTTGTCTGATATTGTTGGTTCTCTAACTGGAGGACTCACTTTAATATTTCTTGTAAGTTCAGCCTGGTTTTTACAAATTCCCTTAATTTTTATTTGCTGGAAATGTCCTAATTTCACCATTGTATTTGAGAGACAATTTTTCTGGATATATAATTCTTGTATGACATTTTCTTTTCTTCAAGGCTTTATATTTGTTTTCCCATTGCCTTCTTGCCTGCTTGTTTTCTGCTGAGTAATCAGAGCTTAGTCTTATTGGTTCTCCTTTGTAGGTGACTTTTTGTTTTTTCCTAGCTGCTCTCAGGATTCATTCTTTGTCTTTAGTTTTGGCAAATTAGATTATGATATGTATTGGTGAATTTCTTTTGGGGGTCTATCCTGTATGGGGTTCATTGAGCTTCTTCTCATCTTTCATGATATTAGGGAAGTTTTCTGCCAGCAAATCTTCAACAATTCTCTCTGTATTTTCGATTGTCCCCCCATTCTAGAACTCCATTCACACAAAAGTTTTTCCTCTTGATACTGTCACACATAATTCTTAACCTTTTTTCATTTTTCTTGGTTCTTTTTTCTCATTTTTTCTCAAACAAATTGATGCTAAGGAATTTGTCTTCAATTTCACTAATTCTGTCTTCTATAGTCTCAATTTTGCTCCTGTATCCTTCTATTGAGTTGTCAAATTCTGAAATTTTATTGTTAATCTTTTGGATTTCTAGTTGTTGTTTTTTATAATTTCTAATAGGCTATTTTGTTGTTTTATTCTTGTATTTTTTTCCTGAATTCTTCTATTGCTTTGTGTTTTATTTGGTTTTGTCTGTTTTC